ATACTTACAAAGAACGCTGTTCTATTTATATTTCAAGCGTTAAAATTTAATGATATAATCAAATCCCCTATCGTTTTACAGAACTAAATAAACTGCCATAATAGGGAATACTTTAATGAAATTCGATAGTGAGATAATTATTAGAAATGTGATCTAGGGCAAGCTACCTCGGAAAAGACACGAGAACCAAAAATAGCAAATGTTGCACCGTTTCATTTGGTAAAAAGCATACCATTCGCAACAGATCCTTATAAAACTTGTGTTAACTTCTAGGCTGATTCTCAAGATCTAAATGTTAAAGTGTCGCTCTGAATAGGTTATTTCATATCTCAAATTGCAGATTCACTTTACGAATTTTAACCGGTAGGCTATGCTAGCAAGATACTTATTAAGTTTATGTGAAAGACAATTTTGGAATTGTGAACTTTTTGGTTTATCTGTGACAAATTTTAATAGAAATTGTTTTTGTAGAGCAGAGAACCGTGATAAAGCATTTGCCAAATTCATCGAAGCATTGTGCTTGTCCGCATTATAGCTTTGTTCCAATAAGCAATTCCGAGCGAGTTCAGAATTAATTACGAATTATTGTAATGCGCATGTCCGAGTTAAGTACCGTTCAGAACTGGTTCCGAACTATTTTGTTGGAAGGGACGATATGCTATACAAGCAAACAGACTGACAAGACAGGCAAGAGACGCCTTGAAGCAGCATCATCAAAGCACCTGGGATAAGAAACTCGAAGACCTATCTCCAGCTGATCCAGGAATTTGGAACTTGGCTAAAATCCTCAGAAACAGAAGACAGCCCATCTCCCCAATACACAGCGAGCAGGGGAAGGTGTACACAACCGAAGAGAAGGCAGAAGCTTTTGCTGACAACCTTCAGAGACAGTGTACTCTCAATACTCACCCCGATGAAGACGAAGACTTCATCGACGAGGTGATAAGAAGATCGAGGAGAGCTGTAAGAGGAGGAAGAGCTATTGAGGACATGACCTCTCCAGGCGAGGTAAGGGAAATCATCGGAAGACTCAAGGTGAAGAAAGCACCGGGTGTAGACGAAATTGGGAACAGAGTCTTGAAGAGACTCCCGAGGAAAGCGATAATGGCAATCACCAACATTGTCAATGCCATACTGAGACACCGATACTTTCCAGAACACTGGAAAGTGGCCGAAGTGATCAACATACCAAAACCTGGGAAAGACCCAAGGTTCCGCCAGAACTACAGACCCATAAGCCTGTTGATGGCACTGAGCAAGATTGCGGAAAGGGTAATCGAACGAAGACTGAGGAACGAAACTGAAGAACTCCGAGCAGTTCCATACAGCATATGCGGCAGAAAGTACGAGACCCCGCATGGTTACGGAATATCTGCAATGAGCGACTACCAACCTAGAGGAATGGTGCATCAAGTGGAAGATCCGGCTCAACCCTGAGAAGACGAAGCGGTACTGTTCCGAAGAAATCGAAGATTACCTCAAACCAAAACGACGACCACCAGAATGGAGAGATGCTGGAGAAGAGACGAAGAAGTTGAGGTCAACTGGAAGGACTCCAGCACGTACCTTGGAGTCAAGATGGACCAAAAACTCACTTGGAAGAACCATGTCGAGGGTCAGGTGAAGAAAGTGAAGATGGCACGCTCCAAACTAAGACCTTTAATAGGCAGAAGAAGCTAAGTGTCCTTAAAGAATAAGACCATCATGATTCAGATGGTGCTGCTCCAAATAATGACTTACGCAGCAGTGGGGCTAAGTTTCCAAAACGATGAAGAAGAGGCTCCAAGCTCAACAAAACATAGCACTCCGTGAGGCGATGGACGCACCGTGGTATGTACCTAACAGAGTGCTATATGACGAACTACGATAGGTACCGGTCGTAATCCAGATGAGAGAGAGAGAGAGAGCCCGAAAGTTCTTTGAAAAGAACGAAAGACACCGAAATGTGCTGATTAAAGACGCCTTGAATTACGACCCAAGAACATTAAGGCGTCATAAAAGACCGAAAAGCCAGCTGCAACAAGGAGAAATTTGGCCCTAGCAGCTGATGCGGCCAAAGAAAAGGGGAGAAGTCCGACAATAGTTATATACCCAAGAGGGGAAAGAACAGTCCGTGTAGAACGGGTGGACAAAAAGAAGCCTGTCGATTGAGGTGGCCAGAGTCAAGCACCGACTAGGGGCTAACCTTAGGAGACGAACACAAACAGCAAATGACTGACTGACGACTGACCGATTGACTCCAGTCGACGAGGAAAGAGCGAAGGTTCACCAACCTTAATGCGGTTCTTAGGTCAAAGCCCCCAGCGCAGGACCCCCAAGAAAGAGGCCATCCATAAAAGTCGAGAACCGGCAGTTTGATGAAACGTCCACCAGGTGCTTCCGCGACGCGTGCGCGATCGAGTCAAATTTCGGAAGAAAGGGGCAAAATTGGGGAGGAGGGCAGCTCGCTCGTCAGCACACACTCGGGGAATGCGCAGCTGCCTGAACCACGCAGCGCCACGCCAAGCCTTCGGGTGGGAGAGGAGGGTGGAGCAGATTGCTCTTCCCCCCACTCCTCAAGGGTTTGAGGTTGCCTGGAACAGGGGTGGTGGAGGGACTGCACAGGCTAGAAGAACCTTATCAAAGAACTGGAAATCGAGATGACTGATTTAACGTCCTCAATTGAGCCTATTTCAAAGTAAGCTTCATAATCACCCAGTTGCTGAATATGTGTAATAAACGGCACAATAAGGTAACAAGATAGGTTTGATATATGAGAAGATTGAAACGTTAAAGAAGGCACGAAATGGCAGCCAGAGAATCTAGATTCACGGCTATGAAAGGCTCATCCACGCCATTTATACCTCCACGCCCATGTGCTATCAAATTCGAACTCTCAATTCCAGAATTGCTAGAATCTGCTTAAAACCGGTTTATAATCAGCTCGGAATTTGCTGGCATAGAGAGCTGCCAGTGCCTGAATCAGTTCCATTTTCTGTCGAAACGCTAATTTCGATCTCCGCATGCTCTGTTCTGTTCGTGGTTCGACAGATCGCTGGAACAAAGCTTATGATATAGTCAAACGCTGATAACCTGAATTTAAGCGTGAAAAGCATCTCCTGAATACCAAGATGGTGGTTGCTAGACGAAACTTGAAGCATCACAGGGACCTATTATGAGAAGTTAACATCAAAAATGCGAGAAAATCTAAAAAAAAAGGTCGAGGAAAGTTTCGTCAGGCATGCCTGCATGGTACAATATGGTATTCACCAGAGCTAACCAGCAGAGATTTCTATTTCCCAAATGTATAACAAGAAATGTAAAAGTACTAAAGAGAGCAGGTGAAGTTTACCTCAGAGAAGTGGTTTTAAGCAAACGGAGAAACTTTTTGTTGAGCACGCTGTAATTCGTAAAGTTATGGGCTTTTACTCCTATAATAAAACACCTTAATTCGTTCACTGTTAAACTCATTCTATATTAGTTGTCTCACCTTTGGTCTCAACTTGCTCAGAGATATAAGGTTTAATGTCGATTTCATTATCTGACACATTTGAGACATCTCGAGATAAAAGTTCTTTCGAGGGAAAGCTTGTACTCTGAATATATGATATTCAATCAGGAACTACCATCTTCATCGCGATATACTGATCTTTTCTATCACATCTACGTCGCTCGCTTGAGACATCTTGGGATGAATGCTCAACAGCGTCTTTCCCGATAAAGGTTTTCAATTAGGAACTACCATGGCGATGCTGCCAGGATCACTATGTAATGAATTTATAAACTCTTGTGGGCTTTTAATATATCAGGTTTGGGCCCAATAGTTGTAGAATCCTCGGTACGATTTTTAATAAATAATACTTAACATATTAGTGCTTACATAGATATAAAGTGTGGGCCACCAGTTCTTTTTTTTAAGTTGGTATTATTTTGACAGTTGGTAACACTTCCATGCTCAACATATTTTGGTTGTCAAATCATCTTTTCGGACGAAGCCCATTTCCATCTGGGGGTTACGTTAACGAGCAGAACTAATAAATTTTGGGTTCTGAAAATTCACATGTCGTCCAAAAAGAGTAACTGTTTGATGTGGCTTTTGGCGTTGTGAGACGATTGCTACCTACTTTCTTCAAGACAAAGATCGTAACAGCGTGACGGTAAACGGGGAACGCTATAGAGGCGTGTTGAGGAGTTTTTTTTGGCCACTATTAGACGACATGCATATGCACAATCTCTGATTCCAGCAGGATGGCGCAACATGTCACACCAGCCGTGAAACAATCGATCTTTTACATACTACGCTCGGTTCGTTATCAGCCGTTTTGGAGACGTTCATTGACCAGCCCGCAGCTGTGATTTGACGCCCATTGATTCCTTCCTTTGGGGTACTGCTGTTACACTAAGAATCCTAACGATGTTCTTAAGGAAAATATCTGTCGAGCTATTGATGAAATAGACTCACAAGCTATCGAAAATGTGCTTCAAAATTGGGTTAAGAGGATGGACTACTGCCAGGCCAGCCGCGGCAGCCATTTACTAAAATTGTTTTCATAAGAGTGTAGTTATAATACCAATATAAAAAAAACCAACGGATAGCCCACCCTTTACCAAATTTTGTAAATATTCTGAGGAATATAATAACATAAAATATAATATAGTAGACAAAAAATGGAAATATTCATATAACAGATGATGACTAAGAAAGAATATTTAAGCAAGTTAAATTGCAATTAAGAAAATATTTACTGGTATTTCTTATAGAAAGAGGCTAAAATATGCAGGAATTTTGAACCTTTGAGAAATAAATCCCAGTATTTTGGAATGAGCAAAGTGTTTCCTTGGATATTACCTAAAATCTATTGTTCAAATAGATTCACAGTTCGCTAGCCCCACTCTGCAATCACCATGCTGATTGTCTGTAACAAATTTATTGAGGTATGGAATCACCAGTCAGCTGAAATTCAGTACCTGTGACTTCAGCTGATTGAAACTATTCAGTACAATAGCTGCATTCATTTCAGATAATGAAGACGACATTAAACCTGATATCTACGAGGAGGCCGAGATCAAAGACGAGGCAGCTAACATGGAATAAAGCTAACCATAAACGAATTAAGGTGTTTTACTATGGGAGCAAGAGCCCACAAGGGCTTATAAATTTATTACAATGCAATTCTGAAGCAGGTATTATTTAGATTACTGCAAGGGGGCTGGTAGCTGAGGAAAGATATCAACCCTTGTGTTATGTCGTTTTGATGTTGTACGCAAGATAATCTTGCAGTATTAAGAACGCATTCCAACGAAATCCTTGAATTTCTCCATGGCAATTGGTTTGGAGCGCTATACCCAGAGGCACTCCCCCATACAAGTACCTTTGAGGCTGCGAAATGTATACAGTTACACCACAATAAGTCGAAGGCGGCGACGGCGGATCGACCCTCGGAGAATGGCTCGGGTTTCGCAAGAAGGCCGGTTTTATAAGCTTAGAGTGGTATTGGGGAGTTTGGACGCATTCTTTTGTTAGCGCTACTTTCAATGGCGAGATGAGAAGGAGGTGTGGGAAAGGAAACGAAAGAAACTTCTCGATTGTCAATAGGGACGCGGACCTAATGGTGAGAAATCGAATTCGGCCTGTTGGTGCTTGCATTAAACATCCACTTTCGATCTGATGATTTGGTTAGCGGCAGCAGTATTTCGGTGCGGTTTTCGCGTCCTCGCATTATGGAGTGGGTGGTGGCCCTGAAAGGAGTTCAGTACATAGGGTATTACAAAATCTTGTCTGGAAAATTTAAGGGCAGATTCAGCCGTTAAAATACAAAAAATATCATATAAGAGGTGTTCCATATATTTCTTCTTTTTTCAACTTCCATTTTTTGACATGTTAAATGTACCAACTGACATGTACTTAGCACATATGAACTGCCAGCACCCTGCCATTTGTTATTATGGATTCTTTATTAACGCAAGAACGCATTTTGGTCGTCCAAAAATATTACGAAACCGGACGATCTTTAAAAAGTACTTTTCGCAAACTTCGTGGTGAATTTGGTCGACATAATCGACCCACAGATCGTGGAATTCGGTGGTTTATCAATCGTTTTAAGAAAACTGGTTCAGTTGAAGGTCGTAGAACATATCAACATGCAGGTCTGGTACGTATACGTGATCAGTAGGCCGCTGAAAGTGGAAGTGTTCATGAATAGCCATCAACTTATATAAGATAAGACACCGTTCGTAAGAATTGGACATCAGGCCAACAACATTATGGAAGATTTTGTATGTTGATCTCCACCTACACCCATACAAGATCCAACTAACTCAACAATCGAAGCCAGCGGACCATCAGCAGCAACGTATTTTTGTTAATTGGATGCTTGAAAAAGGAGAGGAATTTTCGGCTAAAATCATCTCTTCAGACAGGCCACATTTTTACCTCAGTTGCAACGTAAATAAGCAACACTGTAGGATTTGAGGATAGATCCATCCATGAACAACCTCTCCAAGATCAAAAAGCAACTGTTTGGTGCGGATTATGGGCTGGTGGCATCATTGAACCGTTCTTTTTCGATAATGAAGAAGAAAAAGCGGTTACGCTTACCGCCGAACGTTATCGTGGTATCATAGCGGAATCTTTTGGCCGAAATTCGAAGGTATTGTTGCCAACGACCTTTGGTTCCAGCAAGATGGTGCAACTTCGCACACAGCTCGCCAAACAATCCAGTTATTGTCCAAAAAATTTGTCCTCGAAGATCGTGCGACTTTGCGCCACTGGATTGGCGCTTGGGGATTTCTGAAAAGTAAAGTGTACAAGACTGCCCGACGTACGATTCAAGACTATAAGACCAACTTTCGCGCCGAAATTGCTGTCGTGGACCCGCTAATACTGCAAAAAGTCATCGAAAATTTTGATGTCCGGATGATGGCATGTCAACGGGGCCGCGGTGGACATATGTGCGATGTTATATTCCATACAAAAATGGCAAAGACCGACCTACAATTTTCAATAAAGGATTCGGTTTCTCACTCATAAAAAGTGTGTTTTTTTTTAGATTAAAAAAAGAAGGAACGGATGGAACACCCTACACCTAGTGTTTCAAATTCGAATCTATCCATTGGAATCTCGAAAACGATAACAGATACAAAACCGAGAAAATGGAAACTAAGTTGTGCATTCGAGAAACTAAGAAAATGGCACATGAAAAGTTCCACCGGTAACACGACAACGCTTTGTTGTGGCATGCCCGTCAGTGAACCCAGGCATTTAGTTTTATGGGGAATCTATGATTTGATGTATTACCGGAGCTCACAACGTATAAATACAGTAGCATTAAAAAATTGAGCTCCCCTACTCCTCACTATTCGCAACCCCCAATAAAGAACCCCTACAAAACTTTTTTCTGGAAATCATGTGAAGCCTCTGAAACGTCAGGAACCGAATCTTGAGTTGAGAAATTTTATTTTTTTTTTCGCTTTTTGCCACGTCATCGCCAATGGACCGATTTTAAAAAAGCACACAGTTTTTTCGTCCTTGGCATAGCAGTAACATTGTGTGAGCGTTTCATCAGCATCCGAACTGTGTTTCTCCATTTATAGACGAACCAAGAATTATCGGACAGACAGATATAATCATGATCAGTGACACCGGGTGCGGAAGTTGGTGGTGTCACCCCATCGAAAGCTTGTTTGTTTAAGATTTATATCATTATTTAGTTTATTTAATTCAAGTAATCCTTTCTGAATTATTGATTTGCTAGTTATATTTCTGTTGCAATGTTGTAAATGAAAATCTATATTTTCTCTTTTATAATAGTTGTGGTGACGATTATTCAATTCTATGTAGTGTTCTAAATTTTCTGGCAAAATAAAAATAAGAATGACAGTTTTTATATTCAACCACTGCAATTCTTGTCACATATATTTTATTTTGATGTACTTATTTTTATTCAATATTATCCTCATAGCTTTATTTTGCACGACTTCTAATTTCCAGAATACTGCTTCATTGGCAGTGAACAAGATAGTTGAACAATATAGTAAGTGAGGTAGAATAATTGTATTATAAACTATTTTCTTGGAATAGGTAGCAAAAGCAATAAATTTTATATGACTTATAAATTTCATCGATCATTTAATATTTATATTTAAAATATTGAACAAATTTAATAACAAAACAGAATAAAAGCTAAGACAGAAGAAATATTTTTATCTTACAATTAAAATCTCTTCTTTCTAGCTTTAACAGCTGCAAACTCTATAAACTTCATCAAATTTATATTTTGTATTGCCTCGTGTTTGATGACCAATACACCAAGATTGCTAAGCCGCGATTGGGTTATTGCTGCCCGAAGAGAGTTTTTTATTAATTTTAGTTTACTGAAACTCTTTTCACATGAAGCTACGGACACGCAAACCATCATGAACAATTTTAATGCAATCATAAGCTTTGGAGGAGATTATGTAAAATCCCATTCTACAATAAACTTAAAAAAATCTAGAGATACCCAACAAGAAACTGTAACATTAGCGGCTTTTGAGTTTCTTCGCAGTCTTGGTATCTCCAAGTTCTGAGGACTCATCATAAAAATCAGTAAATTTGGATGTAACTAATTTCACTTCTTCAGTATTCACCAAAACAATGAAGCTAGGTCTTGACGAGACTTCTGTCTTGTCTGGAGTTCAACTCTGAAAAAGTTGAGTCACCGGGTGGGTATCACCCAAAAAAAAGGTGACACCCACCCTTTCCTTGCTGCGCCACAGATCGTGATATCACTGCACCCCACCTAATTTTCACTATGAGTGAAGTTCCCTCTGGTACGGATCTTTTTGGCGTTATTATCAGCATTCAACCTACAAAGTTTTTGCCCTGAGCCCAGGGAAGGTCATATTCACCACTGTTCAAATTCCTCTTGATTCTTTACAAGGAAAATCACAACATCACTTGTTACTTTCTTACAGGGGTTCAAGGAGAGGCTCGGATGGTTCACAACTTCAAGGACGTCAATTTCGTCTACCCAGTTACAATGTCCAAACTGTGGGCAACAACTCATTGGGAGAAGACAGTGATCCAGGTGGTGACCCCTCTGACATCAGGTAAGGAGTTCATGGAAACAATCATACTAACTAAGGTATACTGGTTGATGGAAAAGATGCATTATTGAAATAGTCACCTTTGCAATTTTGAACAAAAACAAAAATTATCTTCAACGGATCAGCTTTGTAAGATTCTTACTGGGAATGAGGGGGGAGTTTTGTGTTTCCAACCCACTAAAATAGAAAAAAAATAATATGTAAAGATACCTGCAAATTTATAGTTGGTCTGCTCCATACGCTGGTCGGAACAAAGTAAGACTTAATTGCGTGATGTTGTGTTTTGCTTTTATAGTACGAGAACTTTTATTGTGCAGATTGAGTAAATTAAACCAAGACTATAGAGTAGTTAACGATCATAAATCCTCGTATTATGGTTTCTGTTAGATGTTTGCTGTGTTGTGCATAATCTTACATATAAATTGCAAAATCGAGAGATCAAACTGCCTGCGATCCAATGCTATCAAATGAAATAATTGACACGTGGCACATTATACTACTTAAAAATTCTGTCAAAGCACACATAAATTTTGATCTATAAACTGAGAACAGCACGGGAGACCAAGACTAATTCTGTAATGCGTATTGAAAATAACTCTCTGTGTCTTCTGATTTCTATTTGTAACATTAGTCGAGAAATTGTTAGTGATCTGAGAAAAGTTATGGCTCTAGACATTGGTTAACGTATCCTACCTAGTACTATATTCCACTACAAAAAAATGCTCATATATGTTACCGACATCACCGAGGGCGATGAGATACTAATTATTATTGATCTCAAGTGTTAACGCCTTGGAATTGAATAGTGAAAAGGGACGAGTACGGCGCCAGGATGTCGAGATACTTACGACTTAGGGACGTACATACGTTTGATTCAGAAAGGCGACGGGGCATCATTTGGTTGGGTCATGACAAACTTATCACTGATTTCACGATACGCACATCGGTTTATAACGGTCGTAGTCATTGATTTATGTGTGATTTTTTTATTTTTTCATACTAACGCGGTCCTATAAGTACTTCTTGAACCCGTCTGAAAAATACGTTTTCTGGAGGTTTTTTGTGGCGGCGATATCCTCCTCATTCGAGTGACTTTTTCAAGCTTGGAGCAAAAAGAAGTCGCTCCTAATCTGGGGAATACGGTGAGTGGAGCAGTTCGTAGCCTAATTCAACCCCTTTAGCCGTGCCAACAGCAGAGCTGTGAGCCGGTGCGTTGTAATGGTGGAATAGCACCTTTTTATTCGCCAAATGGGTCCGTTTTTTCTGCAAGTTGGTGTCGAACTTCCGCTTTGCCCTTCTCCAAGTTGTCGATATAGATCACACCTTGTGAATCCTAGAAAACGGTGACCATTACCTTTCCGGCCGATAGGTCAGTCTTCGCCTCCTTCGGAGCATGAACGCCGGGTGAAGTCCACTGTTTCGACTATTCCTTGGTCTCTGGTGTATATCAGTGGATCCATTTTTCGTCTACGGTCACCAAACGTCATCGAAACTCCTTCAGACTGCACTTAAACAGCGTTACACACTGATCTGAAGTGGTCTTACGGTCGCGCTTGTTGTGCGGAGTGAGCAAAAGCGGCAACCATCCCGTTGATAGCTTTCTCATGCCCATTATTTATACATGATCGTAAATTTTGTAACAGTTACCTTTTATTGCCGATGAATCATATATTTTTTTTGTTGTTGTCGCACAGGTGTAATTTGAAGTAATGCAGCAAAAACTTGAGAAGGAAGAAACAAAAGCCGATAATCTAATCTAATAATCTCCGTAGCACATTATTTTTATTCATAGCATATTATTAAATCAACTTTATTGACAAAAATGACTAGACCGGCCCATTGGCCATTTCCCAAGATAGGCCTTTTTTTAACGGTGTATTTAGCTATATTTTTCTCACGTAATTCATAACCAAAATAAATAACACGCAGACATTTACCTATTATCATGTTTATTTGAAATAACAAACATAACACATGAATACCACGGAATAACTATAATTTTTAATTTGTATCCGTTGTTTTTCTTCTGTAGTCTTTTTTCTGCCTGTATATAGTAGTCACCATCATCAACAACAATCCGGTTTGTCACTCCGCAGCTAAAAATAAATAAATAAATAAATGTACATCTATAAATTGATATCACCTTCTGAATTAAAAACTATTTGTGTTGCATAAATATTATTACTCACCTATTGAACTATGTATTTCTTTTATAGTCAAATGAATTTATTATTGTTTTCTGAAATCTTCCAATGTCAAAGGCTGATGTCGAGGTACTACTCTGCGTACCGAACTACTTGCACACCTCGCTTGTTCCGCATAGTTGCCAATTTTATTTCAGAATTTCCTTATGTTTATTAATCAATCAAATTTATATGCAGATATGACAGTGTTGCCAGATTTATTCACGATATTTCCTTGAATTTATATTAGGAACCTTCTCATTTTGGGATTAGCCGACAACGTTTGGCTCTTAATGGTCAGGCGTACAACTATATTTGGAAATGTCAAGTCGGAAAAAAAATAAATTTTGGGATGGGACTTCCTTCTACTATCGGAGGACCATCTTGTTTTGTTCCGCTAATTTCCTGGGTCATTCCTGTTGTGAGTGCGTAGCATCTTTTTTTTTCGTCTACCCTTTGACCCGAGAAATTCTACAATTTGTAGGATCTTATTGTCTTCAGCCGCACTTTTCGCCAGACGGAACCACGTGAAAAACCCTACCCGACATCATCTAGGGCTTTTATTTTGGGGGAATCTTCGCTACTGGAGATCCATTGACACGTTTTCTACCGGGGACCTCTTTCCGAACAGAGACCCTTTTTCCACCATAGGGATTCTTACGTCATCGGTTTTGAAGCCTTCCTCGCCCATTTTAAATTAGTTAGTCAATAAGATTTCGCATTAAGGGAGATCTCCTAGTTTGGCTGGCTTAAATTTTTGTTGTTAGCCATTAGTAGATGTAATAAAATGTATTGATGTTAATTTTAGCTATTATTTACCCACACAGAAAATCTATTGTTTGTATGTATTTTTGTTTTTGTTTCTTGGAGTTTTGGGCTAAAGAGTACCTTTCAACACCAAGGCGTGTTCCAGTTTTGGCGGATAAAAGCTGGTGGCGCCCCTAAAAATACCCCCCCTACTCTCCGGTGTACCTGAGCATAGGGCCTGATTTGCCAACGCTAAACCACGCTTTTAGCCTCAGTAACCCCCTAGTTTTTTTTTAATCATTCATTGCCTCAATTGAGAGAAATAACTTTAGCTTAAAATTAAAAAGTGATTTTAATTAAAACAAAAAAAAGGAGCGTGGCAATTTTCGTTACGTTATCCTCCGTGGTAGCCGTCTTCGAGCCACCTGGGCGTGGCTGATCAAAAACCAACTTGGGGCCAAGCTGAAACTCGTTAAACCAATTTTTGACGAAGGAGAAGAGTCACCGTACACAGCATCCCAGCGCCCTTTCATTTCGCTGCACTATTTCCCTTTCTGTCCCATGCCCACATGCGGCCAAAACAACGATTCGGCTGAAATTTTGAAAGTATCCGTCTACGAGATTGTACTATACGATAGTATATTTCTCTTGCGACAGTTGCGCCATCGAGCAGTGAGGCTAAGCACTTATCGAGCTGCCCTCGTATATGTCCTTCTGTTGCCTTCGGTGCCATCTATGAGACACTAATCCTTCCAAAGTAGATTTCTAGCTATAGCGGAGAACAAAAAGATAGTTGTAACAAATTCTCATAGATGACACCATGGAATCGTATTTCACTTTGGTTAATTATTTGGACGTTAGAATACAGTGTTAGTACAGTGTTAGGCTGGCTATTTTCAGGTATATTACGTTAATCAATGCTCTATGGTACATCTACCTGATACTGTACAAACATACCGCCGCAGTTTTGTCGTAATTCATTAACTCTTCGAGATGTAAACATAAATTTAAGCATATGAAAGGATGAATGAAGGTGTTCGCTTTGCATTGCCTCAAGAAGATGTAAAAATATACGAGTAACATATCTTGTGCAATAGATTTAGTAGTACTGTGAGAACTTATTTATTTTTTGAATTTGAGGATGCGATGGAGAAGAGGTTAGAACAAATGGCAGTCTTTCGAATTTTACAAAAAATGTTTCGGGTACTTATAAAAAACTAATTGTTTTTCATAAGTAAAGAAAGAATTCGATATAATATCATCTGCACAGATATCTCTGTCTTTCTGTCATAAATCTTAACTTCTTCTTTATACCTGGAAAATACGTCATACTTCTAATCACTTTTTTTTAAACATAAAGCATTTTTTTCATTAAACCCTTATTAGTTTTCTTTTCGTATATTTCGGGAAATTAAAGAATGTAGAGTAAGACAGCACAAACTGTTATTACCTGAATCTATTGTAACTGTGACCGCCAGATGCCGCCGATTCTGGTGCTATAGTAAACAACCATGGTCAGCTGTTTCGTACTATTTCGCGACTCCCCAGCATAATTTAGTCTTGGTCTCCGGTAGGAAGACGAAAGAAAGCTGAGCAGCAATCTTAAATAGGTCCCGAGCTAGCTCTCTAAGGTTACTGGGTAGGAAGACGGTGTTACTCGATATCACTTTATTTACTAAGGTAGAGGCCGATTTATAACTGATAGTGAACAATTCAAAATAAAAATAGAAAACACAGTTCGTACGTCCGTCGGGCTGAGCGACGATATACGTGCTCCTTCTGCCGAAGCTCATGCCCGTCACCCCGCGCAACTCATCCTCAAGGTTTTACTACCTGCCTTCCGTCTCACTTTGCAAATCTGACACGCACTCACACATGGTCGCGCTGTTGCCGTACCTCTTCAAATCCTTCACTAACGAGAGTTGCTTAGCTTTAGTTTATTGTCCTACCTGAGACCAGGCCTAGACCTTTGTGATGGGTTTCCAAATAAGGTACTTGACCCTAATAACGCCATATTCACCTTTGATTTTGCATAGCTTAAATAATCTTTAAAATTCTATGAATCGTGGTAATTATTATCTCTACATATATTAGAATGAAAAATATAGTACCACGTTTTCATATAACAGTTCAAACAAAGAAATTTTCGTTTTTTTGATATACATTGCAGTTGGCGCTTTCAGGACGCCTACTATGATATTATTTAAAAAATACATAAAAATGGAAAATAATGAGTATTAACGTAAGTCTTTATTTAGTTTATTGAGACAATCAAGAGAAATGAATGAAATTTTACCATTTTTCGATAAACCTAGACAATCTTCGTAAACATAGCGGTTGTGTAGACAGTACAGCTGTACAAAAACACCTGACCAACAGCCAATCTCTCTCTATTGAAATTAATATTTATTTTCATGTGTTCCAGTAATCAAACCCCAAAAAAAGTGTCTGCCTTTTTGTAATTGTATATATATCGCATAATTAAATAATAATTTTAGACAACGATGGATTGACAGAAACGGACCCGTACATTGGCCTGCGAGGTCTCCTGATTTGAACCCCCTAGATTTCTTTCTGTGGGTCGCTTTTAAACAACTAGTGTATGCTGAACAAATTAAAACTGTTGATTAGTTACAAGAAAGAATAGATAATGGTTTCTTCAAATTCAAGGTACAACAAATTTTGTTGTTTTTCTTTATTAAAAAGATGCCGCGCTTGTGTCCATCAGAATCATGGCCTTTTTGAACATTTATTGAAATAACGGTCTGATCATATAATTTGTTTTTTTTTATTTTTATGAAAACAATGCACTCTAGGAAAAAACACAAGAGTGGCGTACTATTTTTATTTGGAAAATTAATGCCACTATACTATAACTATCTTAAACTGTAATGACTCATCGATGTTCACGTGAACATCACTTAACTACCAGTAGTCGGCTGTTCATAGGCGGGGTATGAATGTTTAACATGGGTGAACTAGATTTGTCACATGCTTAATAAAAAAATTTGGGAATTACCTTTATTCATCGTCGCTTCCACTTACATCTGACAGTAATAAACTGTCGCTAGCGCTTTCCTTGATGAAATTGACTATAACTGGCTCTATGATGGTGTCGATGTGGTGGTCAAGCTGCCACATTTCTGTATCTTCCTTCACAACATGACGGATAGCATTCTGCCAAGCTTCGGGCGTTACTAGCTGTATGGAAGTCTCAAGTAAAATCTTAACGTCTGGTAATTTGAAGGTTGTGTTATGGCGCGCAATATAACCCTTCACTTGAGCCCAGATGAGCTCTATTGGGCTCAGTTCGCAGTGGTAGGGCGGTAACCGCAGCACAGTGACACCACATTGACGGGCCATCTCATCAGTCACGTAACTAATGTTCGCAGGTTTGTGCTGTTTAATTTTTTCATACAATTCCGCTTTCACACATGAATCGACAAACGAGATTCCTTTTTCGCGCAACCATTGCTGCATGTCACTTTTCCGAGATCCCATAGTCCGTACACGTTCGGTTCGACGACTATGGTAGGAAGCATTATCCATGACGATCACAGAGTTGGGCTCAACTCGCTGAAGCACCACTTGAAACCAGCTCTCGAAGCAGCTGGCATTCATTTCGTCATGGTAATCACCTCCTTTCTTAGAGACGAAAATCAAGTCACACTCTTCTAAAAAGCCACTATCGCTACCAATATGAGTTACGATCAATCTTTGACCTTTCCCTGACGGTCCACGAAGACCTGTTGATATACCTTAAATGCTTGCTTGTCGGTTACTCACTACGTTTTTGTCTATCCAGGTTTCTTTAACTGTGTGTCCTGCATTTACCCATGTCTCGTCCAAATAATAGATTTTTCTGCTTTGTCGCCTATATTCAATCATTTCGCGTAGGTATTTTCGACGCCAGGCGACTGTTTCAGGTCTCTCTATCAATACTGACTTCCAATTACGCGTTTCGTAACGAAAATTAATTTCGTGCAGGGATTTCCTCATTACCTCGACGCTCATTTGGGGTATAATTTCATTTTTCTTGATCGCTGCATGTACAGCCTTGAGGGTTGGTGTCTCATTCCTAAAGAAGAATGAAGGTACGGTTCGCCTCAACGCCATTTTGCTATCGTCATCCAATTTAACGGCCTTTCGTCCCTTCAAATTAAACTTTGGATCAGTAGTAGCTCCAGTTTTCTTCTTTTCATGCACCACCCTGCGAATGGTCCACTCTGGAACGCCTGTCATACTCACAACGCGCGAGTGTATCTCCCTGCGACATAGTTCTGTTGAGCACGATTTCTTTCGCGTCCCTCTTCAGTGCTTTACGAAGCCGTCTACTTGTTCCCTGGCTTTCAGTACTTCCACTCGTGCCATTTGTACTCTCCATGGTTAAGTATAACCAAAACAGTAACCACAGAAACCACAACAATAACAATCACACAACAATTCTTATAAAAACACTCAATATGCGATCGCTCAACGAAACACGTTCCAATGCGTTGCCGACGCCTATGAGTCTGCCGGTCGAGGCGCGTCTTTGATTTCATTGGCTCTACCGGCGGAGAACAATCAGCCATTATTTCCATCTCTGTCTGTGCCGTTGACCACCGCAAAGCCACAGAAACGACATATGTCGTACGCTATACGGCTGAACTGGAAGGAAGCCGGGATCGAGCTCTGATCACGTGTTGATCACGCGTATGAGTCATTACAGTTTTAAATAGTTGTAGTATAGTAACACAGAGACGCATATGTCGTTGCCTTAATATCAGGAGTTGGAAAAAACTCGGTCAAGCTTTGGATATTTTCATCATTCTCATTATAATTTTGTATCACTTTTTGGTCTTTACCTGTTCTGTTATTATTGCTTGCGTCGAATTTTGTTTTTTCTTGTTGTTTTGTTTTAACGTTTACGTCAGTATTTTTTTTATCAAATTATCTCCTGTTTTCTTCACGAATTTCATTCGCTCCTTCTTTCGGATTCATCTTGATGCCTTCCTTAATGTTTTGTGCCTCATTTTCCTTTCTATCAAGATTGTTTTCAAAGTAATCAGCTAGTTTTAAAGAACTGGGCAAATTTGAAAAATTTTATATTTCCCTTCAATTCTCTTGGTGAATTTCACTCGCTTCCATAACACCTTGGTTCTCACTTTTCTTTTTTTTTAATTTATCACCATCGGAAGATTCTCGAATGGGGTTATTAGGAGCAGTTAACCCAAAACTTATATTGCCGATTTTACAAAATCTACATAAGTTTGGCTTTAAACTATAAACTAGATCTAAAATAAACTTACCAAAAATTACGTTGATATCAACAGATATAATTTACACAATGATTAAAGAACAAAATTCTTGCAACAAAAACTTCACCGCCAATAACGTTGTTGTTGGTAAATGATGGCAATGCATGTGGCGACATCTGTTGCATTCAGGAAGAAGTTTCGTACCTTCCATTGCTTTTCTAGATAGAAACCTACCAAACTATAATTGCGTTCGCGGGTCAAAAAATGAACCAGTTCGGAACAAAAACTGAACCATCCAGAATTAAACAAATCCGCATGTCCAGTTATTTTTTAGTTCGAGATTTTAGTTTACCGCGAACGACTTTGGAACTGTTTGCGTATTCAACATTGTTGTCAATTTGCCCTCTATTTTGTGCTGTTGCCAAGCTGCTATTCGATTGACACTATTAACAGCTTCCAGATGTTATCGGTACTTCAATAATAAGTTCCAATAGTTCTTCCAAATCATCATCACTAAACGATAAATGGTCCGACATCTTAAGCACAAAATCTTAAGCACTGAATCTTAAGAACTTGAGATGGAACACTCAAAACATATGTATGGAACAGCAAGCACTAAAAAGCACAGGTGACAGATTTTCACAGAATAGGTCAAACACTTTAAACCCGAACAGAGGCAACGGAAGATGAAATATCAAATGTCCATAACGATGCTAATGCGCATGATCAGCCGGATCGAACTTTTAGTCTCCCCAAAAATCTGAGAACCGTCAGGACCAATTCGGAATCAGTTCTGTACCAATTCGATATGCTCCGCGAACGCAGAACTGTAACTAAAAATTCAGAATTTTCTTACCGCGAACGCCGATTTTTGAAGTGCGCATGCGAAGTGGTTCAGAATCAATCCCGAATCGGAACCGCGAACGAAACTAATATCACATAGTTTTTAAATTGCATTAGTGAATTTCTGAGTGATGGCTTCTGGCATTATTAGGGACATGGCGTTATTTGAGTCAAGTACCTTAGCACAAAACAGCTTTCCATAGTTGGCCGCCCGTGTTTGTTAAATGAACAACGTTGGAACTGCGGGTGCATGTTTGCATAGGAATAGATGACAGTCAGCGACTTGTGAAACATCAAGCTACCTAATCGTTCAAATATTTTGAAACTTGTTCTGTCTGCACGAAAAGATTCCCTAATTACATACTCATACATTTTGTTGATTTTGGTACCTACTGGTTAAAAAACTCTTTTTCCAGTAGGTGACGCCGTGGTCTCGGAAATATGTGCGAAGAGAACACCAGTGTCATCAGGGTAGCCATGTGTATGATGAATTTGGTAGGGGCTGGCTGACATAGGGACGATAGCTACAAACGTGTCACGCACACCGAATTGTAGCGAACATTGTCACAACAGCATGGAGAAAAAAGTTGAGAAAGCAAGTACAGTTGCCCAGGTAAGTCGCACACCGGCCAGAGTTAATTGCATAAGCAATAACACTGCCAAAGGAATATTAAACAGCTATTTCAGAAGATATGTATATTACAAACCAAAAAACTTTTCAATAAAAAATTGAGGAAGTGCAGCCCTCGGTTTGATCTTAAATAAAATTCTAACAGTCCGATTTTTGAACTGCCCAAGGTTAGTTGAACTGGGAAAAGCCTCTTCAAGTAGATTGTTCTACATTCTCTATACCACAGGAACAAAAGAGCGATCGTATCGGCCAGTTCTAGATGCACGAAGTTCGACACGGTTAGGATGGGAGGCCGAAGTCAGGTGGGTCTGATTGGCAGGCTCATGGCGTGACGGCATCATGGATGAGAGCTCTGAGTAGCAAGGCTCTTTGACATAGCGGTAGATGAGAGCTAGATAGTCTATGGCTTGTCGGTGCGAAAAGATTGCGAGGCTGTCCATTAGAGAAAAGTCATCGATCAGTCGGACAACCTTCCTCTACCTCCCCTGAACAACTCTGGGCATAAATAATGTAGTCGGGGCGGCAGCGCTCCAAGCATCTGAGCACTACCCGACTCAAGGCCTTGTTCAGAGTGAGGAGATTATGTGGAAAAAGTATACCTCTTAGCCCTAAACAAATAATCTAGGGTTTTTCCAGCAGCTGCCGCTATTAGCGACATGTGTTTGTGCCAGATCGAGTTGGTGATCTGGACTCCGACCAGCCGAAATGAACGCTTTTTTGGCAGAACTCGGCCATCCATCGGATCTGGATGAGCGCCAGGGCTCTTCTTGCTTTGGAAGCGTTAAAATGTACCAGACTATATAACCTAAAGGTCTCACATCAGCTGCTGTTATCAGCAAAGCTGTGGATCGGTTTAGTCTTAGAAGAAACGAGGTCATGAGAGGAAGGTTTACAATTCACTTCCCTCCCTCCCTTTCGAAGATATTGACTGATACAAAGACTCTCCTTTTGGCGATGTCTAATCGACCCCTCCAACAAAAAGCTCTAGCGGGCGCCCATGCACTACGAGGTTGAATAGAGAAAAGGTTTCTGCGCAACAAAATGCAATTTTGAAATCTATGATTGCAGCATGATTAAAAAAAAGACCGTCAAAAATTATCTTCTAAGAATACATACAGGGTTTGTCCGGAAAGTAATAGGACTCATTTTCTTCCGCCATGACAGTACTTCGGAGCGTGCACGCACCGACTGGATTCGGTAGAGGGCGTTCCTAGCCAACGAATGAGCGGCTGGTCAGTTATCTCCGAGCACTTGGAGAGTCAGGACAGGCATTTTCGCGCGACGTGTTTCTGTGAGTGGTGAAAGCCGAAAATGCATCGTTCGTTAGAGCAGAGGTACGCGATTAAATTCTATGTGAAACTCGGTAAATCTGCGATAGAGACGTTTGACATGATCAGGCAGACTTACCCAGGTGTTGCTTTAGCAAGGAGTGGTGTGTTTCGGTGGCACCAGGCCTTTTTGGAGGACCGGGAAGAGGTCGCTGATCAAGACCGTGCTGGAAGACCTTCGACTTCGACAAACACCGGTAATGTGACTCGTGTGCGCAAATTTTTGAACTCAGACCGTCGACTAAGTATTCGTTTAATTGCTCAGATGTTAAATTTACCAAAATCTGCGGTTCATGACATTGTGACACAGCATTTGAACATGCGCAAGGTGAGCGCGAAGATGGACCGAAAAGTGCTCACTGACGACCAGAAATTGCGGCGAGTGGAAGTGTGCCAAGAAAATTTGAACATTTGTGGAAGTGGCCCCTAATTTTTGAATAACGTAACCACAGGTGACGAGTCGTGGATCTTTGAGTATGATCCCGAGACAAAGAGGCAATCTTCCGAGTGGCACACGACGGCGTCTCCTCGCCCAAAAAAGGGAAGAATGAGCAAGTTGTACGTGAGTGCTCAGGAGACTCAAACGAAGGGTCAGTCGGGTCCGACAGGACATCGCAGCCGACTGGAAGTTGCACCACGACAACGCCCCGGCTCACACCGCCTTTCTTGTGAACAGCTACCTGACCAAGGCCGGCATCCCAACGCTTCCGCAACCGCCCTACAGCCCAGATGTGGCCCCCTGGATTTTTTTTCGTTTCCTCGCCTGAAAAGGCCGATGAAAGGCAAGCATTTTGAGACGACAGAGGGGATCCAAGCAGCATGCACCACGGCTCTCAAGGCTATTCCGGAGAATGCCTTCCGTGACGCCTTCAATGGTTGGAAATCGCGCTGGCAGCGCTGCATCGACGCAGAAGGAGCCTATTTTGAAATTTTTCAAGAAATTGTAACGATTGGCTCAATAAATTTTTTTAAATCGACTCAGTCCTATTACTTTCCGGACAAACCCTGTATGTTCGGGTGCACTTTTGGTTAGCATTCGGGACTAAATGAGTTCATATAGCTGTACCCATCTAGAATGACTCACGTAGACATTCAATAAAAATTTAGGATTAACCTTCATTGTTCTTTGCAGGAAATACCTTTAGGACCTTGGTCAATATAGTCAACCGACAAAAGACAGGGAGGTGAAAATCAGGGTATTTTGCTAATTTATTAACACCGATCTGTACCTAACAGAAATTTAGATAAATTTGTGTACATATTTCTAGTTAACTATTCGTAACTGATGATTACGTTGCTTCTCGTGATGTAGAATACATTAGTGATTCATTGTACGGATGCATTGTATCCACAATATATCCATTTATGTTTTGCCAATAATTCTAGTACATTTTCATACACACTCTTGTTATTGTGCCATACAAAGCTGTCAATTTTTCATACTAACAAACATTTGCGAAGTTGCTTTGAGACAATTGATGCAGCTTATCGAAGAAATGGAGAATCTGCCTGGCAACAAAAGCTGTCATCTTCCACTGTGTTGCAAGGTTTACATGTAATAGTTGTCATGCAACTGGTAGGTTGAGATTTGCGTCAATATTAGTCGATCACTTTTATAGGATATAATGTGCGAGATCATTGACGGCCCTCTCAAACGAGGTTTTTTCAATACTAACATTCATTTTTGGTCTCCGGTATATCTGTCGGCATCAGACGCTGAAATCTGACATTTCCTGAAATGCCGGAAAACACCGTAATATTTTAATTATTACAAAGTTTAACTAAGCACTTCAGTCATTTCCTGTAATGGCTGAATAATCTCAGTCAAACACCGTAACAACCACATTAACTTCGTTACTGCATTCGCCTATTTTAGTCAAACACTGTGCAGCTCCAATGAAGTACATAATATAACAAGGTACTACTTTATCAATAATATTATAAAAAAAAATAATCAAGCATCAATTAATGTAAAAGGAAATAAGAATAGGTGAAGACGTTGTCTTTATTATTACATTATCGTTCTTTTAATGTAACTAGTATTCATATACGAAATTCGGCAACAATGGATGCTGCTGCTGAGCAAGATTATGTACTTTATAATTTAGGTTAGGTTCACAAAATTATAAAAATTAACTTACCTCCTTTAAATCATTTGTATTCCATGGTTTTTTCTTATTCACACTGTCATAGTGTTCACTTAGTTTATTGTAAAACAATTCTGAATGCTGCGACATCTTTACAAACATAGAGCCGTTTTACACAGTAGAGAATTACTCTGAAAATTATGGTCATAATTATGCCGAAAATTTGCATGGAAAAAATATTGAAGGTTTCCTCTACAACCTGTATGACACAAGCAAACAAAATTTCCGAGTAATTCATATGATACGCCTGCGCATTAGAGTAATATTTTCAAATGGATATAACCTTAACGGGTATGATGCCCAATATAATCGGAAAGATAACAGACGTCGTTGATTTAAATTTATTTTTGAAATCGAAATCTTTCTGAATATTATAAAACCTCTCAATGCTTGGACGATCGCATCCAGAGCCTGACGCCGCAAATTTCTGTTTTTGTAATTGGGTGACTTCACCTTGTGCAGGTTTGGTCATTTTTGGTACTCCTCCAACAACAGTGTAACATCTTCCCGATTCCACGACATTATGAATAATCAATAACAATGACTCGAACAGGACCATACCCACAAATGTCAAGTGAGGTTATGTTGTTGACGTTGACATTTGATAATGACATGCACGGAAATAACCCTCTGCGCCGATTCTCGCGCATATTCTATAGAACGGGTTTTATATTTTTACCATGAAAATTTTCATAAGAATTCTTTTACGTGTAATACGTCAGCAAAAATTTTCGGCATAATTATGATCATAATTTTCCGAGTAATTCTTTTGTGTGTAAAACGGCTCATAGTAAAGACGATGTGTATACTCAAGCAAATTAACACAAAACTGGTACAATTCATGCCGTCAGGCAAATGTAGTAACGAAGTTAGTGTGGTTGTTGCGGTGTTTGACGGAAATTGTTCAGTCCTACTTTGTAATAATCAAACTGTTACGGTGTTTGCCGGCAATACGGGAACTGACTAGGCATTTCAGGGAATGATGGGTTTCAGCGTTTGACGCCGACATATCCATTAATTAGCCATATATTTAATCTAACATAACTTGCTCATTTCGTAAAGTCTTTGAAATATCTAGTTGGTTGACCTAGACGGCTTTGGCCATTCTCCATTTTCAATGGAAGTAAGGATGGCTAGCGATTGTGGTTAATTTATTTGTATTTCTAACAAGACAGCTCAAAGTTCCATCTATTACAAGAATCGGCCACCGCGAGTATAACTAGTATCTTCTAGCTGGAACTGTAAGAATCTCAGTTGGTAGTAGCCTCTAGATGCTGTCGATTCTGGCAGTATAGTAGATGTTTCCTACGCCATTGAACCACTAAACGTACTGCTGTTGCCCGTTAAATATGCATAGGTAGCTGTTTCGTGCTTATTGGCAGCTTATCAGCACGCTCTATACGAGTAGGGCAGCTAACGAAAGCATAGCAACTGTTCTCTATTCGAGATATAAGCTCTATCAAAATAAGATAACACAAGGTGAAATCTATTATCAAAATGTATCACT